TTTTTTTTCCCCCCAAAGGGGGCCCCCCCGGGGGGCTTATCCAAAGGGGGCCCCCCCGGGGGGTTTTTTTTTTTACCCCTTTCCCTTTGGGGACCCCTAACCCCCTTTTTTTTCCCCCCCTTTCCCCCTTTCCGGTTCCCCCCTTTCCCCCCCCAAACCCCCAAAAAAAAGGGGGGAAAAAAACCCCCCCCCCCCATTTAAAAAAAAACCCCCTTTAAAAACCCCAAAACCCCCCCCAAAACCCCCCTTTTTTCCCCTAACCCCCGGGCCCCCCCCCCGGGACCCCCCTTTTTTTTCCCCTTGGGGGTTAAAACCCCCCTTTTTCCCCCCCCAAAATTAACCCCCTTGGGGGAAACCCCCCCCCCCCCCCCCCCCCCAAAAAAATTTTGGGGGAAACCCCCCCCGGGGGCCCCCCCGGGGCCTTTTTCCCCCCCGGGGGAAACCCCCCCCGGGGGAAACCCCCCCCCCCCCCCGGGGAAAACCCCCCTTTTTTTTTTAAACCCCCCGGGGGTTAACCCCCCCCGGGGGGGGCCCCCCCCCCCCCACTGGGGGTCAGTATCCCCCCGGGGTCGTATCCACTAAAGGGGGTTTTCCCCCGGGGGGGGCCCCCCCCCTTTTTTCCCCAAATTGGGGGGCCCCCCCCCGGGGCAGTTTTCCCCCCTTGGGGGTCCTTTTCCCCCGGGGGAAAATTTTTAAAAGGGGGGGCCCCCAAACCCCCGGGGGGCCCCCAAACCCCTTTGGGTTTAACCCCTTTTGGGGGAAAAACCCCCCGGGAGTTTCCCCCCCCGGGGAGTTTCCACCACACTGGTGGTCTTTAAAACCCCCCCCCAATTTTTAAAAAAAAAAACCCCCAAAGGGGCAGTTTCCAAATTTTTGGGGTTTTCCCCCCCCCGGGGTTTTTCAAAAATTGGGGGCCCTTAAACCTTTCCCGTTTCCCCCCCTTAAAAAAAAATTTTTTTTAAAAAAAACCCCCTTTTTTCCCCTTTAAATTTAAAAATTTTCCCCCTTTTTTTTTTAAAAAAAAAAAACCCGGTTCCCAAAAAGGGGGCCCCCCTTCCCCCTTTTTTTCCCCCGGGGGTTTTACTTCCGGGGGTTAAACCCCCCGGGGGTTTTCCCCCGGGGGGAAACCCCCCTTTGGGGGGTTTTTCCCCCCCCCGGGGGGGTTTTCCCCACCGGGGGCCCCCCCCCCCCCCCAAAAAAAATTTTAATTCCCCCGGGGTTTTTTCCCCCCGGGGGCCCCCCCGGGGGGGTTTTTTTTTTTTCCCAAATTTGGTTAAACCCCAAAAAACCCCCCCCCGGGGGTTTTCCCCACCTTTGGGGTTTAAAAACCCCCCCCCGGGGGCCCCCAAAGGGGCCCCCCCCCCCCCAAAAAACCCCCCCCTTTTTTTTCCCCCCTTTTTTTCCCCCCTTTTTCCCCTTTTTTTTTTTTTCCCCCCCCCTTTAAAATTTCCCCCTTTCCCCCCCCCAAATTTTTTCCCCCCCCCCGGGGGCCCCCTTTTCCCTTTTCCCCCCGGGCCCCCCCAAACTTTTTAAAAAAAAAAATTTTTCCCCAAATTTTTTGGGGGTTTTTCCCCCCTTTTCCCCCCCGGGGGCCCCTAACCCCCTTTTTTTTAAAAGGGGGGGTTTTTCCCCCGGGGGGCCCCCCCGGGAGGTAAAACCCGGGGGAAACCCCAAAAGGGGTTTTTAAAAAAAGGGGGCCCCCCCCGGGGGTTTTCCCCACACTGGTGGTTTTAAAAACCCCGGGCCCCCCCGGGGGGGGGTTTTTTTCCCCCCAGGGGGCCCCCCCCCGGGGGGGGGAAACCCTACCTGGTGGTCAGTATCCACCCCGGGGGCCCCCCAAAATTTGGGGGGGGTTTTTTTTCCCCCCCCCGGGGGTTTCCCCCCCCGGGGCAACCCCCCTTGGGGGTTTTCCCCCAAAGGGGGTTTTAAAAAATTTTTTTTTCCCCCCGGGGGTTAAACCCCTTTTTTCCCCCAAACCCTTTTTTTCCCCCAAAAAAAAAAACCCCCCCGTTCCCCTTTTTTTTCCCCCCAAAAACCCCCCCCCCCCCTTTCCCCAAAAATTTTTTAAAAAAAATTTTTTTTTTTTCCCCCCCCGGGGGGTTTTCCCCCCCCCGGGGGCCCCCCCAATTTGGTTTTCCCCCCCCGGGGGTTTTTCCCCCCTTTGGGGGAAACCCAAAAAGGGGTTAAACCCCCCTTTGGGCTTTCCCCCCCGGGGGTTTCCCCCGGGGGTCAGTATCCACCACACTGGGGCAGTACCCCACACTTTGGTCAGATCCACCCCGGGGGCCCCCCCGGGGGTTTAAAAAAGGGAAACCCCCCCCGGGGGAAACCCCCCCGGGGGGGGCCCCCCAAAATTTTTCCCCCCCGGGGGGTTTTTTTTGGTTTAAACCCCCCCCCCCGGGGGGAACCCTTTTTTGGGGGGGCCCCCCCCCCCCCCCGGGGAAAAAAAAATTTGGGGGCCCCCCCATTTTTTCCCCCCTTTAAAATTTCCGGGGAAAACCCCCCCTTTTTTTTTTCCCTTTGGGCATTTCCACCCACCGGGGGGAAAATCCACTAAAAAGGGGGGGCCCCCCCAAAAAAAAACCCCCCCCCGGGGGTTTTCCCCCCCAAGGGGTTTTAAAAAAACCCCCTTTTCCCCCCCCCTTTTCCCCCCAAAAAAAAAAATTTTTTTAAAAGGGGGCCCCCCCAAAAAAAAAAATTTTTTTAAAGGGGGGTTTTCCCCCCCTTTTTCCCCCCCCCCGGGGGGAAAAAATTTTTTTTTAAAAAAAAAATTTTTTTTTTTTTTTTCCCCCCCCCCCCCCCCCCCCCTTTTTTTTCCCCCCCCCCTTTTCCCCCCATTTGGGGCAGCCCCCCGGGGGGGTTTAAAACCCCCCACCCCCCGGGGGGGAAAAAAAGGGGGGGGGGTTTTTTTTTTTTTGGGGGGAAACCCCCTTTAAAAAATTTTTTGGGGAAAAAAAAAATTTTTTTTTAAAAAAAACCCCCCCCTTTTTTTAAAAAAAAACCCCCCCCTTTTTCCCCCCCCCTTTTTTTCCCCCCGGGGAGTTTCCCCCCCACCGGGGGTTTAAAAAAGGGGGGGCCCCCCCCCCCTTTTTTTCCCCCCCGGGGCCCCCCCCCCGGGGGGCCCCCCCCGGGGTTTTCCCCCCCCGGGGGCCCCCCCCCTGGGGGCCCCCCCCCCTTTTTTTTTTTTTTGGGGGAAACCCCCCCCCTTTTTTTGGGGTTTTTAAACCCCCCCCTTTTTTTTTTTTCCCCTTTTTAAAACCCCCCTTTTTTTTTTCCCCCCCTTTTTTTTTCCCCCCCCTTTTTTCCCCCCCCGGGGGCCCCCCAAAAAAGGGGGCCCCCCCCCCGGGGGGAAAAAAATTTTATTTTAAAAAAAAAAATTTTTTTTTTTCCCCAACCCCGGGGGGGGGGCCCCCCCCTTTTTTTATCCAACCCCCGGGGGTAACCCAACCCGGTGGGAAAACCCCCGGGGTTTTATAAAACCCCCCCCCACCCGGGGGGCCCCCCCAAAATTTTTTTAAAAAGGGGGTTTTCCCCCGGGGCTTAACCCCCCCCCACCCCGGGGGTTTAAACCCCCCCCCCAAAATTTTGGGGGAAAAAAACCCCCTTTTTGGGGGGGGGAAAAATTTTTTTTCCCCCCCCCTTTCCCCCCCCCCCAAAAAAAAGGGGGGTAAACCCCCTTTCAAACCCCCCCTTTTCCCCCCCGGGGGGGGGGGAAAACCCCCCGGGGGAAAAAAACCCCCCGGGGGGGGCCCCCCCCCAAAAAAATTTTTTTTAAAACCCCCCATTTAAAACCCCCCCTTTCCCCCCCCCCCCGGGGGTTTTTTTAAACCGGGCCCTTTTTCCCCCCGGGGGGAAAACCCCCCCGGGGGTTTTAAAAAAACCCCCCCCCCCCCCAGGGTTTCCCCCAAAAGGGGGCCCCCCAAAGGGGGGGCCCCCAAAAACCCTTTTCCCCCCCAAAAAACCCCCCCCTTTGGGGAAACCCCCCGGGGGAAAAAAAACCCCCCCCCCCCCAAAAAATTTCCCCCAAAAGGGGGGGCCCCCCCCCGGGGGGTTTTCCCCCCCGGGGGGGAAACCCCCCCCGGGGGGGGGTTTTTTTTTCCCCCCCCCCCCCCCGGTTTTTTAACCCCCCGGGGGGCCCCCCCCGGGGGGGAACCCCAATTAAAAACCCCAAAAAAATTTTTTAAAAAAAATTTGGGGCCCCCCCGGGGAAACCCCACGGGGGAACCCCCCCCCTTTTTAAAAAAAAAAGGGGGGTTTCCCCCCCCGGGGGGTTTCCCCCCCCTTTTTTTTCCCCCCCCCCCGGGGGGTTTTCCCCCCGGGGGGGGGCCCCACAATGGGGGGAAAAATTTTTTAAAAAAAAAGGGGGTTTTTCCACCCCGGGGGGGCCCCCCCCCCTTTTATTTTGGGGGGGGGGGAAAAAGGGGGGAACCCCCCTTTTTCCCCTTTTTCCCCCCCCCCCCCCCAAAAAACCCCGGGGCCCCCCCCCCAAAAATTTTTTTTCCCCCAAAAGGGGGGGCCCCCCCCCCCCAAAAATTTTTTTCCCCCCCCCCGGGGGGCAAAACCCCCCCCGGGGGAAAAAAAAAGGGGGTTTAAAAACCCCCCCAAAAAGGGGGGGGTTTTTTTTTGGGGGAAACCCCAAACCCCCAAATTTTTTTCCCCCCCCGGGGGCCCCCCTTTTGGGGAACCCAAAATTTGGGGGTTTTCCCCCCTGGGGGAAAAACCCCCCCCCCGGGGGGGGGTTTCCCCCGGGGGGGTTTGTGAAAAATATTTCCTCCCACCCCTCGCTTGATGAGTAAATTAAACAGCAGGTAGCAGTATGTATACACGTGATGAGTACTGAATCATCATTCAGTGTTTGTTGTGTCCTCTCACAGGTGAAGCAACTTGTGTAAATAAGTGTGCAGTAGAAAGGAAGTTGAAAGGTGTGAGCCAGACCTAGAGCTGCGTAGACATTGTGGCTCTTCCATGACTTGAAAGGTACATATGGAAGTATGGCTGATCAAACTATGGACTATAAATACATATTTTCATATATTTTGGACAGACACCGCTGAACGTGATGACAAAGAGATACAGATAATATTCAATACATTACATCAGTTAAGACTTTGATTCAGTATTTAAGATTTTTTTAATATACAGGTACAAAATTAGTTTATATATACTGGTAATGCTAGTAAAAAATGCCGAACTGAGTGTATGCAGAACTTTCATAGGAATTTTGTCAAATATAAGAAACAAAAGTAAGTGTGGAAGGAAGGAATTCTCTTCCCACGATAGAACAGACACGTTAAGTTCAGAGTATTTGGCTACGTGCAGCCATTATATAATCATCATAGGTAGAGTTCGCTAGCCTAGAGCATTGAAGCTTCGGGAGGGTGTAGGATAGTTGTAGCCGGTGTTGCAGTTGGGCTGGTAGGTGCTAGTGGCTGTCACGGTGTTGTACTGCTGGTTGAAGACTGTGGAGGTGACGTAGTTGGTGTTGTAGATGGTTGTGGTCTGGTATTGTGTGCGAATCTGCCCCGGCAGCTGGTTGGTACTGATGACGGTGCTGGTGACGGTTACGTACTGGGTCTGGCCAGGGAGGGTCACTACGGAAGGAATCGTTGTTTGAGTGTAGATGGTTGTAGGCACCACCTGTGTTGATACCCGTGTACTGAGCACTTCCTGTGGCACAGTTACGACTCTGGTAATGTATTCTGGTACCTGCTGTGTACGAACCAAGGTAGACACCACCTGTTGAACCTGGGTGCGTGCCACGTACTGTGTCTGGGTGCTGGTAAGCACCACCTGGGAGAAGATGGTGGTAGTGACGGGCACCACCTGGGTGGAGGTGATAACCTGGGTCTGACCTGGCTGAGTGATGGTCTGAGTGACAATGTTGGTGCGGATAACTTGAGTTGTACTCACCACGTCCTGAGCAGGTACCACCACGGTGGAGTAGATGGTACTGTACTGAGTACTGTCCACTGTACGGGTCTGTCCTGGGACCTGCTGGGTTCTGGTCACATACTGGGTCTGGTAGATTGTGCTGACTATCTGTTGAGGAACTACTAATGTCGACACCACGTTCCTGATAATTGTTGATGGTACTTGCTGGATGCGGGTCGAGTATACAGTCTGATACTGAACTTGTGTCCTCACGTCTTGTTGCGTCTTAGTGACGTAGTTGATCTGAGGAGGCAGAGTTACGACCTGTGTGCGGACGTTGTCCTGGGTGCGTGTGACGGTCACTGTCTGGTACTGGACGGAAGAAACCACTTGTGTGCGGACGATCTCGGAGTAGACAGTGGTGTAGACCTGCTGTGTACGGACAGACGTCTGAGTGACGTACTGCACGTCAGTGTTGTAGACGGTGGTAGGGATGACCTGGGTGGAGTACTGTGTCTGTGTACGGTAGACGGTAGACGGTTGACAGGGCTCTGGTCGTGGTGGAAGGTACCCCTGGGACGACTGGAGAGAGATTCTGTTGCCAAAGACTTGTCGTTGGTGTCGTGGCAGGGACGCTGCCATCACGCACCCCACCAAGAGTGACACCAGTAGTAACTTCATCCTGTAAAAGTATTAACAGCTTTACGAATTAAGTCTCGGTATGATATACAGATTCTCAAGTTATATTCAAATATAATGCTATCCATTTCAAAATTGAATATAAAATACTTACCATAATATTACATTAAATATTGGCTGAAATTTTGTATGTTAAATGAAACGAAGAATATAATGTGTGTGTATAATTTTGGTCACATAAATACAACATTTTCATTAATGTTTCTTTATGACACAAGTAAAAATATTCTGAAACTGAACACATTTTTTTAACGAGTGAAGGATAATTATATCAATTCCTGAAGCAAAAGAAGAGATTATTTGCCAAAGTTAAAGGGAGATGCTGGAGGGTTGTAGTTGTATCCTGTCTTGCCACAGGTGGCTGTGATGGTCTGTGTGACGGTGACCTGCTGGGGCTGGTTGATGGTCTGATAGACCACCTGTTGTTGTTGCTGGGTCTTAGCCACCTGTTGGGTCACCACACGGTCCGGGCCAGGCACTTGCACCACTGAGGTTCTGGTTTCTTCACGTGTCTGGTACACAGGAGCGGGAGTGACGTACTGGGTCTGGACCACGGTCTGTACCTGAGTGAAGGGCTGAAATCTGGTCTCGTAGATGGTGGTGTAGATGATGTTGGGTACGACCTGCGTACTTACGACCTCCTGAGGAACTACCTGCGTGCTGATCAATGTCTGAGTGACAACATTGGTCCTGGTCACCACCTGCTCGCGAGTTGTGTAAGCTGTTTCATAACGGGTGTTGACGGAAGTATAAGGGATGACCTGTTGACGTTGAACAAAACTGGTCCTGATATCATCTCGTCCACGAACGACGCTGGTCTGCACTACTTGTTGTACACGCGTTAACGTCACATAACGTGTGTTGGCTGGCTGTTGACGCCTCACGATGGAGGTTTGAAAGACGGTCTGAACACGGGTCTGTACTATGTCAGGGCCTGGGACTGACACTACTTGGGTCTGCTGCTGTGTTTGTGTCTGGTAGATGGTCACGGGCTGATTGATGGTCTGCACCTGAGTGCGAACCACCTCCACAGGTATTACCTGTGTTTGCCCCTGTGTGCTAGTGACGTAACTGACCTGTGGCACAACGCGAATTGACGTAACGTAAACAACTTCTTGACGAGGTGGGCTTGGGATAGTTTGGGTCACAATTCTGTCATTAAAAAGGGTGGTTGTACGCTGGATCACACTGGTCTGGTACTGGACCTGAGTTTGGACGCGAGTCTGGAAGACAGTTGTTGGTACGACCTGTTGTCTGACCAAGGTGGTGGTGACGTACTGTGTGTTGGCCTGATTTACGGTCTGAACACTGACGGAGGTCTGGACTCGAGTGTCATAAACTACAGAAGTGACCGTTTCACAGACTACAGCTGGTGGAGGAGGTAAATAACCTCCCTGAGGAGTAGCCGAGGCCAGGGTCACCACCAGCAGCGTCGCCGTCAAGCGCCACATCCTGCAAAGAGAAATTCCACAGGTTAGAACAGCGGTGATTGGAACCCCCGCGTCTCGGCAACTCATTTGGGAATAAAGTCCAATCACGCGCCGCTCCCTCTGTGCAATTTCTCTATGCTTTGTGGGCTGACCCGAGAGGACTTTATCGCCCAGATGAGCCGTGAGGCGCTGACCTGGATGTATGGCTGACCTGGAGGTATGGCTGACCTGGGGTACGACTGACCTGTGTGTACCACTAGCTTGACTTCACTGTTTACATAATGAGGAAAAGACACAGGACCAGAGCAAAACTTCTATTGTGACAATTTATTGTTCTATTAAAAGCTTTATCAAGTCAGGTACATTTTCCAGGCGTGCATAGATAAAAACATTGTTACAATTATTGTTCTGCCGTTATCATCATGACTGTGGGCAGTACTCCACTGTATCCATCGCTATTCTAGTTGTACTACTGCTGTATACGTTGTGTTTATGTTCTCATTTTTTTTATCATTTGTTTCTGGAGAAGGGAAACTAAAGATGCTGTGAACTTGGCTTGACTTTCCAGCAAGACTGTACAGCAGATCGAAGTAACACAGGAAGAAGCAGCACACGTACGAACCGTACGAACCACAGCCCGGCTGATCCGGCACCGACTTTTAAGTATCTGTCCAGCTCCCTCTTGAAGGCAGCCAGGAGCCTATTGGTAATTCCCCTTATGCCTGGTGGGAGGCTGTTGAACAGTCTTAGGCCCCGGACACTTACGGTGTTTTCTCTTAGTGTAGGAATGGCGCCCCTACTTTTCATTGGGGGTATTTTGCATCGCTTCAATAATCACAATACATTCCTTACGACGCATGATCAAATGAGATGATGAATTAAAGGTCAATCGATATTGCGCGGTGTTGTGTACACTCCATTACCAGAATTACCCAGTAAGTTAACTACAGTGTTAGTATACCACACTAACTCTTGGATATGAGAGCAGGTTAACCGCAGTGTTACTGTGCCACAATAGGCTAACCAAGCTTATAGCTTGGGTAGCGTTTATTCTGTTAGTGGGCTGGATTTGCGAAGGATCTGCCTAGTATGGGCCAACAGGCCTGCTGCAGTGTTCCTCCTTTCTTATGTTCTTAAGTTCTTAACTCTTGGGTAGGATACAGTCAAGTTAATTAGTGTTACCTGACTTTTCTCAAGACCTTTAAGCAAGCTACAAATTCCACATTCTCTGGATTACTTTTCACTAAGACTCTTTAGTCAGAAACATTTGCTTCTGTTGTTATGAATAACATTATCTTTAAAGTTCTCTCTTTTTATACATTATGTGAACTTAAAATCTTATAGAAAAACATTTTTAAAAGAATGACTTCCTTCTAATGTCTTTTAATCGACTTCTTAAGGCAGCTTAATTACTTTACAAAATTTCTAACTAAAAAACTAAACACTGTCCTGATGGATAGGTATTAAAAGTGTGTCACACACTAGCAAAAATCACCTGGCATGGGTCTCACTGTGCTGAGATGACCCAATCAGTAGTGCCGGCACTCTGGTAGAGTCTCAGTGGACAGGTGAAGGTAGATGTGAAAACCTCGCTGTATGAGGTGTTACTACAGCTGGCCAAGTCAACAGCCACTGAGTGTTACTACAGCGGGCCAAGTCAACAGCCACTGAGTGTTACTACAGCGGGCCAAGTCAAAGGCCACTGAGTGTTGCTACAACGGGCCAAGTCAACAGCCACTGAGTGTTGCTTCAGCGGGCCAAGTCAACAGCCACTGAGTGTTACTACAGCGGGCCAAGTCAACAGCCACTGAGTGTTGCTACAGCGGGCCAAGTCAACAGCCACTGAGTGTTGCTACAGCGGGCCAAGTCAACAGCCACTGAGTGTTGCTACAGCGGGCCAAGTCAACAGCCACTGAGTGTTGCTACAGCGGGCCAAGTCAACAGCCACTGAGTGTTGCTACAGCGGGCCAAGTAACAGCCACTGAGTGTTGCTACAGCGGGCCAAGTCAACAGCCACTGAGTGTTACTACAGCGGGCCAAGGCAACAGCCACTGAGTGTTACTACAGCGGGCCAAGTCAACAGCCACTGAGTGTCACTACAGCGGGCCAAGTCAACAGCCACTGAGTGTTACTACAGCGGGCCAAGTCAACAGCCACTGAGTGTTACTGCATCAACTGAGGCGGGCCAAGTCAACAGCCACTTGAGTGTTGCTACAGCGGGCCAAGGTCAACAGCCACTGAGTGTTGCTATAGCGGGCAAGTCAACAGCCACTGAGTGTTCTACAGCGGGCCAAGTCAACAGCCACTGAGTGTTAGCTACAAGCGGCCAAGCAACAGCCACTGAGTGTTACTACAGCGGGCCAAGTCAACAGCCACTGAGTGTCACTACAGCGGGCCAAGTCAACAGCCACTGAGTGTTACTACACGGGCCAAGTCAACAGCCACTGAGTGTACTACAGCGGGCCAAGTCAACAGCCACTGAGTGTTACTACAGCGGGCCAAGTCAACAGCCACTAGTGTTGCTACAGCGGGCCAAGTCAACAGCCATTGAGTGTTACTACAGCGGGCCAAGGCAACAGCCACTGACTGTCACTACAGACGGGCCAAGGCGACAGCCACTGACTGTCACTACAGCGGGCCAAGTGCAACAGCCACTGAGTGTTACTACAACGGGCCAAGTCAACAGCCACTGAGTGTCACTACAGCGGGCCAAGTCAACAGCCACTGAGTGTCACTACAGCGGGCCAAGTCAACAGCCACTGAGTGTTACTACAACGGGCCAAGTCAACAGCCACTGACTGTCACTACAGCGGGCCAAGTCAACAGCCACTGAGTGTTACTACAGAGGGCCAAGGCAACAGCCACTGAGTGTCGCTACAGCGGGCCAAGTCAACAGCCACTGAGTGTTACTACAGCGGGCCAAGGCAACAGCCACTAAGTGTCACTACAACGGGCCAAGGCAACAGCCAATGAGTGTCACTACAGCGGGCCAAGGCAACAGCCACAGAGTGTCACTACAGCGGGCCAAGTCAACAGCCACTGAGTGTTACTACAGAGGGCCAAGGCAACAGCCACTGAGTGTCACTACAGCGGGCCAAGTCAACAGCCACTGAGTGTTACTACAGAGGGCCAAGTCAACAGCCACTGAGTGTTACTACAGCGGGCCAAGTCAACAGCCACTGAGTGTTACTACAGCGGACCAAGGCAACAGCCAGTGAGTGTCACTACAGCGGGCCAAGTCAACACCACTGAGTGTTGCTACACGCGGGCCAAGGCAACAGCCACTGAGTGTGCTACAGCGGGCCAAGTCAACAGCCACTGAGTGTTGCTACAGCGGGCCAAGTCAACAGCCACTGAGTGTTGCTACAGCGGGCCAAGTAAACAGCCACTGAGTGTTGCTACAGCGGGCCAAGTCAACAGCCACTGAGTGTTGCTACAGCGGGCCAAGGCAACAGCCACTGAGTGTTACTACAGCGGGCCAAGCACACCACTGAGTGTCACTACAGCGGGCCAAGTCAACAGCCACTGAGTGTTACTACAGCGGGCCAAGTCAACAGCCACTGAGTGTTGCTACAGCGGGCCAAGTCAACAGCCACTGAGTGTTGCTACAGCGGGCCAAGTCAACAGCCACTGAGTGTTGCTATAGCGGGCCAAGTCAACAGCCACTGAGTGTTGCTACAGCGGCCAAGTCAACAGCCACTGAGTGTTAGCTACAGCGGGCCAAGGCAACAGCCACTGAGTGTTACTACAGCGGGCCAAGGCAACAGCCACTGAGTGTTACTACAGCGGGCCAAGTCAACAGCCACTGAGTGTCACTACAGCGGGCCAAGTCAACAGCCACTGAGTGTTACTACAGCGGGCCAAGTCAACAGCCACTGAGTGTTACTACAGCGGGCCAAGTCAACAGCCACTGAGTGTTGCTACAGCGGGCCAAGTCAACAGCCATTGAGTGTTACTACAGCGGGCCAAGGCAACAGCCACTGACTGTCACTACAGCGGGTCAAGGCGACAGCCACTGACTGTCACTACAGCGGGCCAAGTCAACAGCCACTGAGTGTTACTACAACGGGCCAAGTCAACAGCCACTGAGTGTCACTACAGCGGGCCAAGTCAACAGCCACTGAGTGTCACTACAGCGGGCCAAGTCAACAGCCACTGAGTGTTACTACAACGGGCCAAGTCAACAGCCACTGACTGTCACTACAGCGGGCCAAGTCAACAGCCACTGAGTGTTACTACAGAGGGCCAAGGCAACAGCCACTGAGTGTCATTGCAGCGGGCCAAGGCAGCACCCACTGAGTGTCACTACAGCGGGCCACGTCAACAGCCACTGAGTGTCACTACAGCGGGCCAAGGCAGCACCCACTGAGTGTCACTACAGCTGGCCAAGGCAGCACCCACTGAGTGTCACTACAGCGGGCCAAGGCAGCACCCACTGAGTGTCACTACAGCGGGCCAAGGTAACACCCACTGAGTGTCACTACAGCGGGCCAAGGCAACACCCACTGAGTGTCACTACAGCGGGCCAAGGCAACACCCACTGAGTGTCACTACAGCGGGCCAAGGCAACACCCACTGAGTGTCACTACAGCGGGCCAAGGCAACACCCACTGAGTGTCACTACAGCGGGCCAAGACAACACCCACTGAGTGTTACTACAGCGGGCCAAGGCAACACCCACTGAGTGTCACTACAGCGGGCCAAGGCAACACCCACTGAGTGTTACTACAGCGGGCCAAGACAACACCCAGTGAGTGTCACTACAGCGGGCCAAGACAACACCCACTGAGTGTCACTACAGCGGGCCAAGGCAACACCCACTGAGTATCACTACAGCGGGCCAAGGCAACACCCACTGAGTGTCAATACAGCGGGCCAAGGCAACACCCAATGAGTGTCACTACAGCGGCCCAAGGCAACACCCACTGAGTGTTACTACAGCGGGCCAAGACAACACCCACTGAGTGTCACTACAGCGGGCCAAGGCAGCACCCACTGAGTGTCACTACAGCGGGCCAAGGCAACACCCACTGAGTGTCACTACAGCGGGCCAAGGCAGCACCCACTGAGTGTCACTACAGCGGGCCAAGGCAACACCCACTGAGTGTCACTACAGCGGGCCAAGGCAGCACCCACTGAGTGTCACTACAGCGGGCCAAGGCAACACCCACTGAGTGTTGCTACAGCGGGCCAAGGCAACACCCACTGAGTGTTGCTACAGCGGGCCAAGGCAACACCCACTGAGTGTTTCTACAGCGGGCCAAGGCAATAGCCACTGAGTGTCATTACAGCGGGCCAAGGCAACACCCACTGAGTGTCATTACAGCGGGCCAAGGCAGCACCCACTGAGTGTTACTACAGCGGGCCAAGGCAACAGCCACTGAGTGTTACTACAGCGGGCCAAAGCAGCACCCACTGAGTGTTACTACAGCGGGCCAAGGCAGCACCCACTGAGTGTTACTACAGCGGGCCAAGGCAACAGCCACTGAGTGTTACTACAGCGGGCCAAGGCAGCACCCTCTGAGTGTTACTACAGCGGGCCAAGGCAACAGCCTCTGAGTGTCATTACAGCGGGCCAAGGCAGCACCCACTGAGTGTTACTACAGCGGGCCAAGGCAACAGCCACTGAGTGTTACTACAGCGGGCCAAGGCAGCACCCACTGAGTGTTACTACAGCGGGCCAAGGCAACACCCACTGAGTGTTACTACAGCGGGCTAAGGCAACACCCACTGAGTGTTACTACAGCGGGCTAAGGCAACACCCACTGAGTGTCACTACAGCGGGCCAAGGCAACACCCACTGAGTGTTACTACAGCGGGCCAAGGCAACACCCACTGAGTGTTACTACAGCGGGCCAAGGCAGCACCCACTGAGTGTTACTACAGCGGGCTAAGGCAACACCCACTGAGTGTTACTACAGCGGGCCAAGGCAACACCCACTGAGTGTTACTACAGCGGGCTAAGGCAACACCCACTGAGTGTTGCTACAGCGGGCCAAGGCAGCACCCACTGAGTGTTACTACAGCGGGCTAAGGCAACACCCACTGAGTGTTACTACAGCAGGCAAAGGCAACACCCACTGAGTGTTACTACAGCGGGCCAAGGCAACACCCACTGAGTGTTACTACAGCGGGCCAAGGCAACACCCACTGAGTGTTACTACAGCGGGCTAAGGCAACACCCACAAAGTGTTACTACAGCGGGCCAAGGCAACACCCACTGAGTGCTACTACAGAGGGCCAAGGCAACACCCACTGAGTGTTACTACAGCGGGCCAAGGCAGCACCCACTGAGTGTTACTACAGCGGGCTAAGGCAACACCCACTGAGTGTTACTACAGCGGGCCAAGGCAACACCCACTGAGTGTTACTACAGCGGACCAAGGCAACACCCACTGAGTGTTACTACAGCGGGCTAAGGCAACACCCACTGAGTGTTACTACAGGGGGCCAAGGCAGCACCCACTGAGTGTTACTACAGCGGGCCAAGGCAACAGCCACTGAATGTCATTGCAGCGGGCCAAGGCAGCACCCACTGAGTGTCACTACAGCGGGCCACGTCAACAGCCACTGAGTGTCACTACAGCGGGCCAAGGCAGCACCCACTGAGTGTCACTACAGCTGGCCAAGGCAGCACCCACTGAGTGTCACTACAGCGGGCCAAGGCAGCACCCACTGAGTGTCACTACAGCGGGCCAAGGTAACACCCACTGAGTGTCACTACAGCGGGCCAAGGCAACACCCACTGAGTGTCACTACAGCGGGCCAAGGCAACACCCACTGAGTGTCACTACAGCGGGCCAAGGCAACACCCACTGAGTGTCACTACAGCGGGCCAAGGCAACACCCACTGAGTGTCACTACAGCGGGCCAAGACAACACCCACTGAGTGTTACTACAGCGGGCCAAGGCAACACCCACTGAGTGTCACTACAGCGGGCCAAGGCAACACCCACTGAGTGTTACTACAGCGGGCCAAGACAACACCCAGTGAGTGTCACTACAGCGGGCCAAGACAACACCCACTGAGTGTCACTACAGCGGGCCAAGGCAACACCCACTGAGTATCACTACAGCGGGCCAAGGCAACACCCACTGAGTGTCAATACAGCGGGCCAAGGCAACACCCAATGAGTGTCACTACAGCGGCCCAAGGCAACACCCACTGAGTGTTACTACAGCGGGCCAAGACAACACCCACTGAGTGTCACTACAGCGGGCCAAGGCAGCACCCACTGAGTGTCACTACAGCGGGCCAAGGCAACACCCACTGAGTGTCACTACAGCGGGCCAAGGCAGCACCCACTGAGTGTCACTACAGCGGGCCAAGGCAACACCCACTGAGTGTCACTACAGCGGGCCAAGGCAGCACCCACTGAGTGTCACTACAGCGGGCCAAGGCAACACCCACTGAGTGTTGCTACAGCGGGCCAAGGCAACACCCACTGAGTGTTGCTACAGCGGGCCAAGGCAACACCCACTGAGTGTTGCTACAGCGGGCCAAGGCAACACCCACTGAGTGTTACTACAGCGGGCCAAGGCAACACCCACTGAGTGTTACTACAGCGGGCCAAGACAACACCCAGTGAGTGTCACTACAGCGGGCCAAGACAACACCCACTGAGTGTCACTACAGCGGGCCAAGGCAACACCCACTGAGTATCACTACAGCGGGCCAAGGCAACACCCACTGAGTGTCACTACAGCGGGCCAAGGCAGCACCCACTGAGTGTCACTACACCGGGCCAAGGCAGCACCCACTGAGTGTCACTACAGCGGGCCTAGGCAACACCCACTGAGTATACATAATGTACCAAAACTGGTTACTAAAGTCCAGAACGAGCACAATGAAAAATGGTAGTAAGTGAGAGGAAAGCAGAAGGAAGGCACCTCACGGGTGAAGCAACAACTTGCCTGAACCATCTCCCTAAGCAGAATACTACACAGCACAAGTGTAAGGTCACTCCCTGAGTATGCAACACTCTCGTGGAGCCCAGCGAAAGAAAGCAGAGATTTGCCACCAAACTGATACGGAAATTGAGAAAAGTAAATGTCAATAAATAGCCAGAGTTTTGAACAAGAGTTTGAATGTACACTCGCAATGTGTCAAAATTCAAGATTAAATGATAAAAGTGCTTATATGTGCAGGCTATATAATAATAACAAGAATACTAATAATATTGTTATTATTAATGTCATAATTACGTAAAGCTCTGCGGACGTCTAGGTAATTCGGCGCAAGGAGTGATGAAGGTTGGCTCCTTCCTGTGCTTAGCGCAAGACACACGCCACCTAGTTCTCTTTATGTAGCATCAAGCAAGTCATGCACGTGAGCCGACTGCCCTCTCTCACACCCTCGTAATGATGGAGGTCCTTGCCCAAAATGCAGCTTCTCAAAAAATCCCTCACCATATTTCCAGCAGCTCTTATCAGTCTTCTTGGAGTCGTATTTTCTCACTCGTTGCTAAGACGAATAATTTTCCAACAAAAAATTAGCACACTAACAATGGTTCCCGAAGTAGCGGTGACGTACCTTGTTCACCGAGGTTAGTTGGAGAGAGAGAAAGAGCAATGTAAGTGGTCCTCGGTGGCTGGAGCCGAAGACCGTATTGTGCTCCTCAACTTCCACCTCCTTTTATATGTTGGGTGCCCGGAGAAACCCTCCAGAAGGTTGACGGGAACAGAAAGGATAGCAAACAGTGCTCATCAAACCACGGTGAACCCTAAGAAGCCCTGTCCAAATACACTCTTGTAAAAGTTGACCCACTCATCGCACCACTCACAAATGCTGCTCCCTCGCATGAAAAAAAAAAAACTTGTTAAGTGAACAGGGTGATGAGGGTAACATGATAAGCGACTAGTGTCCTTGCTTGATGAGAGCGCCCGCGGGTCTGGAGAGTACTTAGATCACGCTTCATGAAGGCTTTATGCAAATTCTGTGTATATTATGATAGCATTTTTGTATATCGGCGTCAAAAAACCTATAGGAGAAGTCTAGCAGTTGCAAGAGTCAAGGTCGTCCAGCTCTAAACCCATCATATCCTGGGTTGTGTAAATGGTGTAATTCCACGTGTTTAATATTCTTACTTTTCAACTACCAATGATTTTAATGTATGTTTCGTCAGTGCTGAGCTGCCATCTTTGTGATACGGGGCCAACACAATGGTTTATACATCTTGTGGGATGTTACCAGTGTTTAAAGTCTGTTTCTTATACGACTAGTAATTTTTTACAATTTTAAATGAGTATGGAGTGTGTGATACCAGACTCAGGGCAGACTGTTAACATACCAGACTCAGGGCAGACTGTTAACATACCAGACTCAGGGCAGACTGTTAACATACCAGACTCAGGGCAGACTGTTAACATACCAGACTCAGGGCAGACTGTTAACATACCAGACTCAGGGCAGACTGTTAACATACCAGACTCAGGGCAGACTGTTAACATACCAGACTCAGGGCAGACTGTTAACATACCAGACTCAGGGCAGACTGTTAACATACCAGACTCAGGGCAGACTGTTAACATACCAGACTCAGGGCAGACTGTTAACATACCAGACTCAGGGCAGACTGTTAACATACCAGACTCAGGGCAGACTGTTAACATACCAGACTCAGGGCAGACTGTTAACATACCAGACTCAGGGCAGACTGTTAACATACCAGACTCAGGGCAGACTGTTAACATACCAGACTCAGGGCAGACTGTTAACATACCAGACTCAGGGCAGACTGTTAACTTACCAGACTCAGGGCAGACTGTTAACATACCAGACTCAGGGCAGACTGTTAACATACACTATCAATGTCCACCTTAAAGAGAATCTTAGTTACTATTATGTCAGAAAACTGGCAGAGTTTCGACATACATTCATAGAAAAATAATCTTTATTAACGGTACGGGTTTAGTGCTTTCCATGAATATGACGATAATGTGACCTGATAATTGCAATTATTTCTTTGTACCTTCAGCAAGGATCCAGAACTAGATGTGACTGTTGCCTTAGATTTTGCACATAAGGAATATTTAGGATTACTATACGTATCGTTTAATGTTTCTTTCTCTATCTTACCTGGCCATTATGTACTTTCAGTTGTAGTTTCATGACTACATTTTCTGTAGCAAGTAGTTACTGTCGTTCCTGAATGTGTGGAAGTTCCATAAATTTTGTGACTCAGTGTACAGTGTCACTGCATCCTTTTGTATCTTAATGGAGTAAGTCTGGAGAATGTTGTTAGCGCCAGTGAGCTCTTCCCCGGGAACTAGTATGGAATATGGGGAAAATATTATGATTCACAAATTCGTGATAACATGATTGCTAAAATATCACAGAACAGGTGAGACTTGAACTAAGCGCTAAAGGTGGGTTTTAAGACTCACCTGCCGCGAGTTCGATCCCGGCCCACCCAGTGTTAGGTTAGGTAAGGTTCGTCAGGAAAAAGTGCAAGTGTTTACTGACGCGGGTCTTAGTCATATGATGACCCACAGCTGGAGCTTTTGGTCCTCTGATCGAAGCCTTTCACTGGCTTACCGGTCCACTCCTTTAAAAATTATAGTTATAATTATAACCATTAAGTTAATAGATACACCCATTATGTGATTTGGGAAACATTATATTTAAAGGGCCCCCCCCTCCCCTCTTCCTTGTAGAAGAGTATCAGATTACAATTACAACTTATTATCAACACTGTCTAAGTAGATATCAAATAAAGAACTATAAGTAACTTACTGAAGCCTTTAAAAGATTATTAATGATGTGTCATCGAGGTCCATTACTGTTTAATCTAACTTTTCCATTTTTATGTATCACAAATGATTATAACACAATAAAACACATTTTCGCTTGTTTTAATATGTCTTAAATTGTTGTGTTCTTCTCTTTGTTTTCATAAGTGACGCCGCCCCCCCCCCCTGACTCATGCTATCATTGTATCATGTTTCAGTAGGTCAGGGTTTGGTTTTTTCACAGCCATTATATTTATTGTTAAACTTTCATTGTTTGAAAATCACATTGGAACAATGAGAGTTAGGCTGCTCCATGGGTGTTCAGGAACAATGAGAGTTAGGCTGCTCCATGGGTGTTCAGGAACAATGAGAGTTAGGCTGCTCCATGGATGTTCAGGAACAATGAGAGTTAGGCTGCTCCATGGATGTTCAGGAACAATGAGTTAGGCTGCTCCATGGATGTTCAGGAACAATGAGTTAGGCTGCTCCATGGGTGTTCAGGAACAATGAGAGTTAGGCTGCTCCATGGGTGTTCAGGAACAATGAGAGTTAGGCTGCTCCATGGGTGTTCAGGAACAATGAGAGTTAGGCTGCTCCATGGATGTTCAGGAACAATGAGTTAGGCTGCTCCATGGGTGTTCAGGAACAATGAGAGTTAGGCTGCTCCATGGATGTTCAGGAACAATGAGTTAGGCTGCTCCATGGGTGTTCAGGAACAATGAGAGTTAGCTGCTCCATGGTGTTCAGGAACAATGAGTTAGGCTGCTCCAAAGGGTGTTCAGGAACAATGAGAGTTAGGCTGCTCCATGGATGTTCAGGAACAATGAGTTAGGCTGCTCCATGGGTGTTCAGGAACAATGAGAGTTAGGTGCTCCTGAGTTGGAACAATGATTAGGCTCTCCAGGTGTTCAGGAACAATGAGTTAGGCTGCTCCATGGGTGTTCAGGAACAATGAGAGTAGGCTGCTCCATGGGTGTTCAGGAACAATGAGTTAGGCTGCTCCATGGGTGTTCAGGAACAATGAGTTAGGCTGCTCCATGGGTGTTCAGGAACAATGAGAGTTAGGCTGCTCCATGGGTGTTCAGGAACAATGAGTTAGGCTGCTCCATGGGTGTTCAGGAACAATGAGAGTTAGGCTGCTCCATGGGTGTTCAGGAACAATGAGTTAGGCTGCTCCATGGGTGTTCAGGAACAATGAGAGTTAGGCTGCTCCATGGGTGTTCAGGAACAATGAGAGTTAGGCTGCTCCATGGATGTTCAGGAACAATGAGTTAGGCTGCTCCATGGGTGTTCAGGAACAATGAGAGTTAGGCTGCTCCATGGGTATTCAGGAACAATGAGAGTTAGGCTGCTCCATGGGTGTTCAGGAACAATGAGAGTTAGGCTGCTCCATGGGTGTTCAGGAACAATGAGTTAGGCTGCTCCATGGGTGTTCAGGAACAATGAGAGTTAGGCTGCTCCATGGATGTTCAGGAACAATGAGTTAGGCTCCCCTCCATGGGTGTTCAGGAAACAATGAGAGTTAGGCTGCTCCATGGGTGTTCAGGAACAATGAGAGTTAGGCTGCTCCATGGGTGTTCAGGAACAATGAGTTAGGCTGCTCCATGGGTGTTCAGGAACAATGAGAGTTAGGCTGCTCCATGGGTGTTCAGGAACAATGAGAGTTAGGCTGCTCCATGGATGTTCAGGAACAATGAGAATTAGGCTGCTCCATGGATGTTCAGGAACAATGAGAATTAGGCTGCTCCATGGATGTTCAGGAACAATGAGAGTTAGGCTGCTCCATGGGTGTTCAGGAATAATTTCCGATTTTTCACTGCAACACTTTGGTTATACCATCAGTAGTAAGTAGCTCGCTGAAAATGGTATTTGAAGTTCGCCGTTGAAGTGGTTTTTAGAATGGGGTCGGCGTGTAGGCTGCCAGCACTACATACACCTATATGAGGAGATTAATAAAAGAGAATTTTATTATTGTTACCTGGTTTAAGACCTCGTATGTTTGCAAAAATGTTAAATGTTATTTTATTTTTGTTTATGCTAAGATTTTTTGCTGATGTTAGTATTTGTCTCTGATGGCTGGGAGAGTCTCTGATGGAAGAGTCTCTGATGGGAGAGTCTCTGATGGAAGAGTTTCTGATGGAAGAATCTCTGATGGGAGAGTCTCTGATGGAAGAGTCTCTGATGGAAGAGTTTCTGATGGAAGAATCTCTGATGGGAGTCTCTGATGGAAGAGTCTCTGATGGGAGAGTCTCTGATGGAAGAGTCTCTGATGGGAGAGTCTCTGATGGAAGAGTCTCTGATGGGAGAGTCTCTGATGGAAGAGTTTCTGATGGAAGAATCTCTGATGGGAGAGTCTCTGATGGAAGAGTCTCTGATGGAAGAGTTTCTGATGGAAGAATCTCTGATGGGAGAGTCTCTGATGGAAGTCTCTGATGGGAGAGTCTCTGATGGAAGAGTCTCTGATGGGAAAGTCTCTGATGGAAGAGTCTCTGATGGGAGAGTCTCTGATGGAAGAGTCTCTGATGGGAGAGTCTCTGATGGAAGAGTCTCTGATGGGAAAGTCTCTGATGGAAGAGTCTCTGATGGGGGGAGTCTCTGATGGAAGAGTTTTCTGATGGAAGAGTCTCTGATGGGAGAGTCTCTGATGGAAGAGTCTCTGATGGAAGAGTCTCTGATGGAAGAATCTCTGATGGGAGAGTCTGCTGGGACAGGTTTGGCTCTGTTGAACGAGGTGTTAGTATAATCTTGCTATTTCTTATCGGTTTTGCTTTCCTAAAAAAAAAAAGAGTTGAATAGTGTGTGTGGTTGTGAGTGCCCTGGCAGCTAGGATGATCACCTGACTTGACTGTTTGGCTCCTTATATGTGGAAAGCAGAGCAATTTGTTATAACACTGTTGTTTTTTCAACGATACAAGTGAACATTTTAGGC